ATGAATGTACAAATGTGCTTTATGCAATTGATATAGTATGTATGGATTGTGATAAGAGTTGTATGAGGCCCCAAAAAATGATTTTTAAAAAAGTAAAATTTATATACTATGCATATATAGAGCTTTTTAAGGGTATGTTTTAGATCTTGAGAATCAACATTTGAAAACTAGAAAGGAAACAACGATATGACAATTGATTGTTAGCCATTTAGAATAAAACTGAGTGCACACACTGCATCTCATGACACCAACCAACCAGCAGTTTTCCTTTTTAATAAAAACCAGAGGCCCTTGGGGGGTTGGGGTTGTCAGGCTTTGTTTCTCTATGAAAATGCATTTGGACATAGAAAATTCTGAATTGAGGAAAACATGTTGTAGCAAATTGAACCTAAGCACCTGAAATTCCAAGCAAATTTTATTTAGCTATAGCACTTTTTTTCAGTAAAATTTTTATCATTTCAGATATTGTAGCTCGTACCTTGAAATCACATTATCATTATATAATGTGATCACTTGAAAATTTGTGGGTTTTTATCCTAAAAATACCATTTCATTGGTCATTTGAAACATATTTTTAAATTACATTAACTATGGAAGTTATTTCACAGCTTTTTTGTTGTTGCTTATTTTTTTTATTTTTTATTTTTTGCTTATTTTTTTTCTTTTTGTTGCTTATTTTCTAATCCTATTATGCACTCTTTTGTATGTTATTTAGAAATCTGTTGGTGACAAAGGAATTGATGTGATTATTGAAATGCTAGCTAATATAAATCTTAGTAATGATCTGAAACTTCTATCTAATGGAGGACGAGTAATAGTGAGTATTTAATTTTTTACTCCTTTGAAATTTTACCATAGTTTCAGATTTTTAAACCCTACATTTCATACTCTCTTGGAGTAAAATGGGAGTTATGTTGTTTTTCATGACAGATTGTTGGCAGCAGAGGTCCTATTGAGATAAACCCAAGGGACACCATGGCAAAAGAGTCTAGTATCATTGGAGTTGCTCTCTACTCATCAACCAAGGTGCGGAAAGAAATGGCTCTTATTTTGTTATTTGAAAGATTGCTAAGTCAGGTACACCAGAAGGTTAATGAGTAGATGTTAAACTCAGTTATCTGACTAGAGGAGTGGATGATTCATCCCTTGAAGCTAGTAGGACAGCACCATAATGTATTTTCCAAGTCAGATCACTTTTGAGAAATAAAGGGTGTAAATAATAAATACTTCAGAGCAGTGGGTGTAAAATACCCTGAGATTATCCCAGGAGAACTAGGAAGTATGGCTACCCTTTGAGAACTGGGAGTCCTGGGTGTAGTGGGTGACGCATTGGACTATTAACCACAAGGCCAACCATCTGAACTGACAGTTGAGCCGTGGGAGAAAGATGAGGCTGTCTGCTCCTACAAGGGTTTTCAGCCTTAGAAATCCACAGGGGCAGTTTCACTCTGTCCACAGATTTTCTGTGAGTCAGAATTGACACAGTGGCAATGAGTGTATTTTGTTCAGTTTTTATTGAGAACTGCTTTCTCTAAAGTTGTGTTGACAGGTTGACAAAAGCCACACATATGTAAGACACTTTTACCTATAACACTTAGATTCTTAAGGTTTTTGGTGCCACTGAAAGTTCAGTCATTTGGTCCTTTGAATAAAACCTTTCATCTTTCCTTTAGGAGGAATTTCGGCAGTTTGCGGCAGTTCTTCAAGCTGGAATGGAAATTGGTTGGCTGAAACCTGTAATAGGTTCTCAGTATCCATTGGAGAAAGTGGTCGAAGCTCATGAAAATATCATTCATGGCAGTGGGGCTACTGGAAAGATGATTCTTCTCTTATAATGATTCTTATATATTTGCTCTGGAATTAGAGTCTCTTCCCCCAGTTTTACTTATAGTATTTTTATTTTAATTAATATTCATTTGGATCACCACTTTTCTTATATTAGAAGGCAAGGCTTTTCTTTAGAGATCATGGACTGTGGAATAAAATTGAATTTGATAGCCTATAATATCTTTATATCTTCTACCTTTAACCAAGGAGTCATCATCATTGGAAATTGAGTATTATGATTACTTGGCATTTATGTATAATCCAGGAATTCTGAACTGACACTTGATGATTCATTTTAGACCTTTATCTAAAATATGCTAATGCAAATAAAGATTCCTGTGCCTGCTTATCCTTACAAACATGGTAGTCTGTGATTAGCTCAGTATTGTGTTGCACTCTGAAGAGTGTTGTCAACTAAAAGAGACTTCCTTTCCAAAGCGACCTTATCTAAATCCAACAAGAACAAATTGTCCATTTTACCATCATTTTCCAAATAGTAGATCATTCACCATTTTAATGATTGATTACCAATGACTCATATAAGGGTCATGAGGATAGCCCCCTTATGTTTCATGTACCATGGCACCAAGTACAGAGTCTCCATATAGATATTTTTAAATGTCTAGATTTTTTTCATAGCAGAGTTAGAATTATCTGTTTGGATGATAGGATTACATGGGTTTTTTTTTTTTAATTTGAATTAGTATTCTCACAAATTTGACACATTAAGAATGAAGTGGAGAGAAAATGTTTTGAGAAACGATGTACAAATGCGCTTTACACAATTGATGTGTGTGTGGATTGGGATAACAGTTGTATGAGCCCCTAATAAAATGTTAAAAAAAAAAAAGAATGATCTGTTTTCGTTTTCATAACATGATCTGCAATCAATTCTACAGGAAATTAAAAACTTTATCTGTAATAAAAATGATTATAGGAAATGTTTATAATAGTTCATAAATTAAAATAATGTTTCAGAAATATGTGAGATATCAAAACATAAGACATGGCTTGCAGGAAGCAGATCTATAACTTGTATCAATGTCTACATATCATTTATGCATAGTCCTGAGTGGTTACTTCCTAACAGTGCTCTGTGCTGGACTTTTTTATCTAAATAAGTATAGGGATAGTGACTCAGACATCATTCCATCAATATTTGTACCCAGGAAAGTAAGATTTGGTTATTTTTGTTTTTGTTCATTTTTGCACTACCTTGTACCTGCTATTGCATAGCATGGTGAATTCTCCTGACTGAATTTGTGTCTGTTGAAGGACAATTTCTGGATTTCTCATTTGATCATGAAATCCTGCTTTAGTAGTTAACAGAGTGAACAGAACACAATGCTAATTTTTGATAATTGAGGGTATCCTTAGCTTTAAGGTTTTTAAGCCAAGGTTGAAGTGATTTTATTACTAATGCTTTCTGACTTTAGTCACTGTTTCTTATACTGGGTAACTCTCCTGTGAAATAGCATGTTCAAAAATGCACTGAAAATCATTATTGTGAATCCAGAGACTAGCATTTTATGGACATCTTTAAATGGAGGATGCTACTTCCATATGAGAAGATAAACAAATAATATTTCTGTTCAAGTCAATATAACCTATTTGCACTTATGCCACCTCCATCAAATGAGCTTTTATGAACTTCAGGAAACTGATCATTCTTTAATTTAGAAGATGAAAAACAAGCTAACTGCATGTGTTTGAAGGACTATAAAGATAATTAGAGGGGCCCTGGTGACATCGTAGGATACCTCTTGGGCTGCTAACCACAAGGTCAGCGATTCGAAATAGCCAGCCACTCCTCAGGGGAAAGACGAAACTTCCCACTCCCTTAAGATTTACAGTCTGTGACAGCCACGGGGGACAGTCTTACTCTGTCTTACAGGCTTGCTATGAGTTGGAATTGACTCAATGGCACGGAATTTGGTTGTGGTGTTTGTTTTTTGTTTTTGATAAATACAATTATGTTCGATTGAGTATGTACATGGTAGGAACCTCATTGTTACATCAGCTCTGCTCTTGTCTCTACATACCCACCAACTAAGGTCACTGCTTTGTTGGTAACTTAAGGGTAACCCTTAAAGGTATTACGCCACCCTCTCTCTGCCTGTTGGGAAGCAAAAAATAACCTTTAGAAAAAACAGGCATTGGTTCATCTCTCAACACTCTGGTCTGGATTTTTGTTCCTGTTTGCTTTGACTTTCATGACTCAGAACCATACAGTGTGCTAGAGACCAAGTGGCCCAGCCACCCTGAGCAAAGATTGGGGAAAGGACGTGCCAAAATCTCAACTAGTTCTGATTGAAACTCAGCTGTTTTGTTTGTTTGTTTGTTACATGGGCTTTAGATGTAAAATTACAGCATGCTGAATTATAATTTCCTGGACTTTGGCTTTCCGGTCTGTTGTATCTCTGGAGCTGCGATGCTTGTTTTCCAGACGTTGTTGCCTGTGATTCCTTATTCCTGACCATGCTAATCATCTTTACCTCAGTTTCCACCAATCTTGATTTGACTGTCTTTCAAACAGAATTTTCTGCTTATCCATTTGTTCAACAAATATTTATTGAGTCCTTAAAGTGTGAGAAGGCACTGCACTAGAATTTGATGCTACAAAGTAATATACCTCCTTAATCTTACAGCTGAGTAGAAAAGCGGGTGATAAAGGTCTCTATGGGGTCATAGAGAAGGAACTCCAAGTATATCTTGGGATTTGATTTATAAGTATACAGTTCATATTTTTGATGCATTTGTTACTTTCTTCCTTCCAGACAGTAGCTTTGAGCACAGAAGTGTAAAATCACTTGGGTGCTTCTGAAAGGGGGAGAAAATGTTAAACACTTCATAATGTTCTAACTCAGTTTTATTAAGGCAAGAAGTTATAGGTGTGTTGTGAAGTTTCCACAGTCCACAGTGTATAGAGCATTTTTTTTAAATGTTGCCCTGCACGAGATAATGCCGGAAAATAGCAAGACCTAGTAGATCCCTTTGTCCCAGCTGACTCAACCTCAATCATGTTTCACTAAAAGAAAACCCAGGTGATTTTTCCTTACCCCATATCAATTTCAGCCTCAAGTCTATCTGATATGAACATTTAGCACAGTGAATTCTTTTCTCCTGAAAAACAGTGTTTTAAAAAATATTACAACAATTTAATTACTACATAGTATACCTACTAATCCATACAAAGTATGGGAACTTCCTCCACCCACAGAAAAAGCCTAGGAAATGTTCTAAAAAGAAGCCTTACTTTATTCCGGTCTGTGTTGATGCCCCCTGGATGTTGATGAAGACAGTTCATCAAGTATTTTTTATAAGAGTAAGTATGACATTAATCCAAAACCCATTGCATGACAGATGCTTATTCAATGTGTACTAAACAAGTCACATATTAGCAGTCCCTATTTTATCCCAAAATAGAAAATTATCAATGAGGACCACACAGCACTGGAAGCAAAAGCTCTTGGGAGAGTCTGTGTCAAAACCCACTGGGAATATCTATGACATTATAATATCAATTAGCCAATTAATTACACCAGCTACAGAATAGGTTTCTGTAGCTCAGTTGCTGACTCTATTTCAGACACAGGATCTATGCTACCTGAAAAATTCACACCACCAGTTGACTATCAGAAACCATCTGGAGCAAATGGAGAAATCATTTACTGATCTATCCTGGGCCTCAGAATTCCTCAGCTTCTTGCATTCAGGGACTACAGATTTTTGTTTTCAGAACCACTGCAGATGAAAAAGGAAGGAGAATTTGCCCCCTTGCATGTATAGTGACTACAAAGGAAACCTTGCTAATGGGTGAAGGCAGGAGCAACATGAGTTGTAGAAAATACTAGCGCATACAAAAAGAGAAAGAAAAAAAATAGGTTGGATCCTAGCAAAGCCAGATTCTCTAGCAGTTGGAACAGAAGATGATCCTGCTTTAGTCCAGCAGGCACTTGAATTGACATAAGGTACTTCTGAGGTCACTCATTCTAAGCATAGCTCTGAACAGGAAGAAGGCAGCTGAAACCCTGACAGATGTTAAGTGAACAAATTATGAAGGCAGACCTGCTTTAAATTCTGACTCTACATAAGTATTTGAAATCTCAATTCTTTCATCAATACTATGAAATAATAGTTTCTAAGAGTTAAACAAGATTTATTAGTATTTCCAGGAGTGGGAGGGAGGGTGGAAGAGGGGCCAACAGTGATGGTATAGTTGTATCAATTGCGTAGACTTGCATAGTCATTTATTGTAATTTCTCTCAATAGTTGCACACTTGTAAAAAGTGGAACTGACACAGTGGTATGACAGGTATATTTATAACTACAAACAACAAAAAAGACAAAAGTTAAGTAGTGGGGGTGGGGGCGGGGGAAGCAAGAATAACTGCTGAGGTTGCCTAAGTACAACCAAACACTTCTGTTTGTAGTTACTTGGTTTGGAGGTTTAGGGTCATAGTTTCATAGGCCAATCCAGTTAATTGGCCTAATAACATGTTGAATGCTTCTGTTCTACCCCCTTGTTCATTTCACAGTACCTGGGTCATAGAAATTTGCAAGTGGCCATCCAAGGCATCACAATGGATCTGGACTTGCCTGGAGAAGCATAGGAAGGGGAGAACAGACAAAGGAGGATATAGAATGCATGGCTAATTGGCTCAATGCCTACTTTCCCATGAGACCAGGAGAACTGCATTGTGCCCAGCTATGAATAATGAACATTTTGATCAAAGATTCAATAAATTAATTCTGATCAAAAGGGATCAAATTCTCTTGCACTCCAGACTATCTCTGAAACTATTTTCTGTAGATAATTTTTACTCCTTAAAGCAAAAATATCCACTGCAGTATTCTTAAAGCCAAATGATTGCTTAGCTTAAGTAGTAAAAAGGTGATCCAACAGAATGCTCAAATTATAGAACAATATTAGTGCTCTCACATGCAAGTAAAATTATGCTGAAGATCATGCAACAAATGTTGCAACACTACATTAACAAGGAGCTTACCAGAGGTTCAGGCTGGATTCAGATTTAGAAAACCAAAAAGGAAGAATACGCTCAGCATATCTTAAACTGAAAGAACCTCAGAAAAATGTCAAGCCTCAAGTTTCAATACTGAAAGATTCTATGGGCAAAATATTGAATGATGCAGGAAACATTAAAAGAAGATGGAAAGAATGCAGTCACTGTACCAAAAAGAACAAGTTGGCATTACACTATTTCAAGAGGTAGCATATGAGCAAGAACCAGTGGTGCTGATGGAAGAAGTTCAAGCTCCACTGAAAGCATTAGCCAATAATAAGTCACCAGAAATTGATGGTGAACTAAACGAAATATTTCAACAAGCTGGTGA